ACCAGTAAAGAGGGATGGTAAATGTTATTAAACATCTACTCATGATGCCCCCCCCATTCATAATGTGGGACAGAAGGATCCCTCCATCTCAATCTTTGCAGGAAAAATCCTAACTTGTAATCAAAGACCTGACTTGAAACAGATAGGGAGATGAAAAAATACAGTCCTGGCTTTATAGGAGTTTTAATCAATATAATATAATTATGTTATAATTATAATAAGCTAACACAACTAATTTACTAAGCAAAATGTGTTAACCGCTTTAAATAATAAATATTGTCCTGAAAGTGAAAGCCTCACCAATTCTTAACTTCTACCTGGTACTTCGCATAAAGTCGTACCAATCCTTTAAGAAAAATGGTAGAAAGCTGTTGAAGAGTTTCGGCAGAGAAGAGAGAAGAGACGTGATTTTAGGAAGTGCGCTCTGTGTGCAGAATGATGTCAGCGGAGCAAACTGGCCGTGGGAAGACCAGTGAGGAGGCCACTCGAGTGGTCCAGGGCAGAGACGGTGGGGCCTGGACTATGGCAGTAGCAACATAGCAGCAGGGAGAGGTAGACGGACCTGAGAGAGACTCAGGAATGAGCTTCCCAAGAAGGTTGAGCACCTGAATGTGAACAGTGAGGTGGGAGGAGGTAAGAGAAGGGAGAGTCTGAAAAAGAACACCTGACCCTTCATTTTCCTTAATCCATCTCTTCTCACCTTCCCCTCCCAGGGTCAACATGTCAGTGCCTGAGGAAAGGGGGCAGTGAGAAGGAGGGGGAGGGGGAACCGAGCACAAGTGGTCAAGGAAGCAGGGCGGCAATGTCAAGGAAGACAGAAGAGGACACAGTGGAGGTGGCCTGAGTAGACGGAGTCTGTTACACAGAAGTAAATTCACTGACTGAACAAATCAGTACAGATACTGAGAATAACAGGAACCGGTTTGTCTCCATCTGAGAAGGGATTTACAAACAAAGAAAGTGGGAAGGCTAGAAAGAATCTTAAAGTATTGGATTAAAATTGGAAGTATCGATATGAATGCATGAGTTTTGTTCCAAATATGTATGATGATACATATAAAAGCAATTATAAATGTATGTATATGTATGGATATTTTTTTCTAACTCTGAATATTAAGAAGGCCTAGAAACAATGACCCCATAGCAGTAAGCACAAAGAGCACCCAGATCTTGGCTTCTAAATACCAAATGTTCCCCCAAAGAAATGATTGATTCCAGAGCTGGCAGAAAGTAAAAATTAACCCAGAACATCAGGTGGTGTCAGAAAATAATGAAGTGCTCAAACAATGATAGAAATGGGTCCACAGAACACAGAAGCCAGCTTGAAGGGATCACACTGGCCAAATCTCGGATGACCTCAGCATCCCCGCCAATAATAATAATGGCGGTAGTATCACATTATGATCCACGGCATAAAGTACTTATTCATCAAAACAATGATACAAATACACACATACACATGGGAGAAGGGAAAGAGCTTCCTTACAATAGAATACCAACCAATACCAAAGGCCTGTTTTCCCGCAGCTCATGAGGTATACAATAAGAATGGTTTGGGGGCGCCTGGGTGGCTCAGTCGGTTAAGCATCTGCCTTCGGCTCAGGTCATGATCCCCGGGTCCTGAGACGGAGCCCCATGTCAAGCTGCCTGCTCAGAGGGCAGCCTGCTTCGACCTTTCCCTCTGCGCTTCACCCCACATTCCTCCCCCCACCACTGGCTTGTGCTCTCAAATAAATAAAATGAATGAGAGAAGAAAGAAAAAGAAAGAAAAGAGAGAGAGAAAGAGAAAGAAAGAGAAAGAGAGAGAGAGAAAGAGAAAGAAAAAGAGAAAGAAGAGAAAGAGAAAAAGAAAAAGAGAAAGAAAGAGAAAGAGAGAGAGAGAAAGAAAGAGAGAGAAAGAGAAAGAAAGAGAAAGAAAAGAAAGAAAAAAGAAAAGAGAAAAGAAAAAGAAAGAGGGGCACCCAGGTGGCTCAGTCAGTTAACTGTCTGCCTTTGGCTCAGGTCATGATCTCAGGATCCTGGGATCAAGCCCTACATTGGACTCCCAGCTCACCTTCTCCCCACCCCCCACCCCCAACATTCGTGCATGCTCTCACTCTCTCTCTCTCTCTCAAATAAATAAATAAAATCTTTAAAAAAAAAAAAAAGAATGGTTTTTACATTTACAGGGGCTATAGAAAAACAAAAAGGATGTGCAACAGAGACTACATGTGGCCTACCAAGCCCAAGTTTTTTATTATCTGGCCCTTTATAGAAAACATTTGCCAACCTCTGCTAGAGAAGGAATAATAAAAATAGGTGATCCTCCTATGGCTCCCATCACAGACTGTTTACAGGCAAGGGTCGTCAATGGTGCTAAGGAGGTTTCATGAGGAAGCACCTGACAGACCCAGGTTGAGCCTCCCTCTACAAAATAAAAGCCCTATATTCTTTAAAATTGTAAAGGGCAGGAAGTACACAGGAAGACTGAGGAACTGTTCATATTGGAGGAAACTAAAGAAATAGGAAAACAATACATAACACATGATACTGAATAGGATCCTGGAGCAAAGAAAGGAGAGACTTTTTTGGGACAGCAGGCAAAATTTCAGTGAAAAATTAATGATTCAGATGAATGCTAAGAACAAAATATAAGAACCCCAAGACGAAGGGTGAAGCTTAATGTCTCAGGTGAAGAAAGGGCTAGAAGGTACACAACTTTGGTGGGAACTGGAAAAAAATTTGCCGAGAAAAGAAACCACGTTTGAGTATAAAGATGAAAATAACATAAACCCAATTACAGCAAGACAGATTTTTTTAAAGGCCCAGGATTAAAATGGATGTTCTTTTTCAAAATTTTTTAAATTCAATTTAATTAACATAGTGTACTATTAGTTTCAGAAGTAGAATTTAGTGATTCATCAGTTGCATACAACACCCAGTGCTCATCAACATCACGTGCCCTCCTTAATACCCACCACCCAGTTACCCCATCTCCCCACCTCCCTCCCCTCCAGCAACCCTCAGTTTGCTCCCTATAGTTAAGAGTCTCTGAAGGTGGGCACCTGGGTGGCTCAGATGGTTAAGCATCTGCCTTCGGCTCAGGTCATGATCCCAGGGTCCTGGGATCAAGTCCCGCATTGGGCTCCCTGCTTGGCGGAGAGCCTGCTTCTCCCTCTGCTTCTGCTCTCTCTCTCTGACTCTCATGAATAAATAAATTAAAAAAAAAAAAAGTCTCTGAAGGTTTGCCTCCCTCTGTTTTCATCTTATTTTTCCTTCCCTTCCCCTATGATCCTCTGTTTTGTTTCTTAAATTCCACACAAGTGAAATCATATGGTATTTGTCTTTCTCTGACTTTTTCACTCAGCATAACACCCTCTAGTTCCATCCACATCAATGCAAATGGCAAAATTTCATTCTTTTTGATGGCTGAGTAATATTCCATTGTATATAGAGAAGATGTAGTATAAAGTAGATGTTCTAAGATAGGATTTCAAGGTGCCTTGAGAAATTTCACTGGTATACTTTGTAACTCTTTCTGACAGTCTCTCCGTAATTACTCATATCACAATTAGGGTTTTTTCTGTCATTTTGAAATCATGTGGCTCCAGAAGCATGTGAGCATGCATGTGTGTGTAAGAGAGAGAAAGAGCGAAACAGAGGCAGATGCTACATATCCTTTGCTTAATAATATTCAACGAACAGAATGCTTAGTGCTTGTTACATAGGTAAATTTAAGGTAAGAACTGGGGAAAATACCCCTAAATATTCCCAGGATTTAGCAACACAAAAGTCAGTGGAGATCTTAGCAAGATCAGCTTCATCTTGGGACAGATACTGCACTGGGTTAAAGAGGAAACAGCCAGAAAGGAGTAATAGTTTGTGGCAATAACTCTTTAAAGAACTATGGCTGTGAGGGGGATGTGCAGCCCAGAGACTCTTCGATATGTTGGCGTGAGTGCTTTTCTTTTTTTTTTTTTTTAATGGGGTAAATAATACCTGAATGCTGATTAGAATGATCTAGTAGAGAAGGAGGGTTAAAGATTCAGGAAAGAGCAAAAATAACCATTTGAGTGAGATTCCCGAGAAGGGGACAGGAAGAAGATCGTAAGAAACACGGAGAGGTTTGTCTCTACCAGGAGAAGGGACAGTTCATCAACTCTAACAGGAGGGAAAGACAAGGGCGAAGGGTTGTTGGCGGGGGGGGTATGTAAACAGGTCTGCAGACATGGCAGATGTACACTGGGATAATTACCATTGGAGGTCTCCATTTTTCTCTGGGAAGTACAGAGGAAAGTCACTTACTGAGGATGGAGGAGGAAAATGTGGGTTGGAGGTCTAAGGAAAGAGAATAAGGGACAAAAGAAGTGCAAGAATGAGCAGGAGAGAGAGACAGCAAGGCTGCCATATGATGCTGAGAGTCCAGATGAGACTGGTGATCAAAAAGAGTATTTTATGAGCAAGGGTTGTATTTGTTCAACAGACTATTAAATTGATACAACAATGTTAACACCTCCCCATACATAATTATCTTTTACATTAAGTCACTATAACCATGTGAGCAGAGTAGTAGAAAGCCAATGAAAATAAAAAAGCTGCAAAACCACAGATGCCTGAACACTAACATGAATTCACTCTATAATTAATTCATGATAAATGTACTTAGCATAAAATCTGAAGGAGGGAGCTAACAGGAAAAGTCAGGGAACACTAAACATAAACCAAACCAAATGCTGTGCCCCACCTATGAGCACAGTGTCCCACTATCACTTCCCAATCGTTTCTGAAACCATACATTATGGTCCCACAAGGTCCTACTGCAATTTCCCCACAGTCCCAAGGTTTTCCAACCCGTTTTGAAAATTTTGTTTTAAAAGAAAATTATTGTTCTCACCAACTATATTAGTCTGAGATTTCTGTGTCCTACTTATCCAATGAAATTTACTCTATTTCTGGCACAGTTCTTCAAACTTGGTGTTTAAATATCCCCAGATCTATCCTCCAGAGATGCTCCATCTTACCGACATCGCTGTGATCCTGAGAGAATCAACAGTGGAATGTTTGAACAGGTACCATAAAATGGGTCCAATTTCCCCTGTAATAAAGCCCTGGGCCTGAGCAGAAAAGGTAGTGCAGACATTTTCAATAATCTTTGCTGCCATGTGATTCACAACACGTTCTTCCTAGAGAAGGAGAGAAGAGTGAAAGGGAGTTATTTAATAGGAGAAATACATACATGCAATTTATTCATAACCAGTGCAAATAAAAGCCTAATACCAAGCGCGTATCATCTGCCCCTGCATGCATTAGGTAATCAGGAAGTGTGATCATTCTTTCAGGGTACTATGAAATTATGACAATTTAATCACTAAATTTAATCTTTTAATCACTAAAACTTTGCATAACATAATTTTAATATATTTTAATAAAAATAAGAAAGACTCTGGGAAACAGCATGGAGGTTCCTCAGAAAGTTAAAAATAGAACTACTCTACAAGCCAGCAATTGCACTACTAGGTATTTACCCAAAGGATATAAAAATATTGATTTGAAGAGACACACGCAGCCTATGTTTATAGCAGCATTACCTATAATAGTTGAATTATGAAAAGAACCCAAATGTTTATCAACTGATGAATGCATAAAGAAGATGTGGTATACACACACACACACACACACAGGAATATTGCTTAGCCATCAAAAAGAATGAAATCTTGCCATTTGCAATGACGTGTATCATGCTAAGCAAAATAAGTCAGTCAGAGAAAGACAAAAACTCAATGATTTCATTCATGTGGAATTTAAGAAACAAAACAGAAGAACATGGCGGAAAAAAAGAGAGGCAAACCATAAAACAGACCTCTTAACTATAGAGAACAAACTGAGGGTTACTGGCAGGGAGAAGGGGGGGGATGGGTTACACGGGCAATGGGTATTAAGGAGGGCACTTGTTGTGATGAGTACTAGGTGTTGTATGTAAGTGATGAATCACTAAATTCTATACCGAAACTATTATTACACTGTATGTTAGCTAGCTGGAATTTATATAAAAACTTGAAAAAGAAAAAATAAATTTAAAAAATTAAAATGCTAAAATAATCTGGAAAATATGTAATATGAGTATAACAAAAAAATGGAAGATACTTTTAAAAATCAAAAGCACCAAGCGGAACAATCCTCATGAATCACTCAGGGCTGGGAATAATTAGCATACCAATCAGCCAAACACCACCTAAAATACAAGGCAATGTCCCAAGAAAGGTATTGCCTCAGCAGTGTGACCAAATTAACACTAGACTAGAGGCTGTTCTGGATTGTCCTAACAACACTTAAAAGCTAGCCTCAAAAAGGATCAAACTGTTTCCACGTAATGTAAATGATCCAAGAAAAAGCACAAAAGTACTTAAAGGAATACGAAAAAAAATCAAATTAAAAAAAAATTTTTTTAAGTAGGCTCCACACCCCACGTGGGCTTAACTCACAACCCTGAAACCAAGAGTAGTCGCATGCTCCTCCAACTGAGCCAGCCAGGCACCGCAAAATAAAAAAATTTTCAAAATAAGAATACAAAAACTCCAGCACCAAACAATATAAAAAGCACAATGTCTGGCATCCATTTAATATTAGCACACATGCAAAGAAGCAGAAAAAAATGACTCCTAAGAAGAAAATTCAGTCAGTTAGAAATGACAAATATGATGGATTTAGAAAAAAATATATTAAAATGACTATTATAAATATTGTCTATACACTAAGAAGGAAGAAGAAAGCATAAGCATGATAAAAAGTGAAATAGAAGATATAAAAATGGCCCAAATCAAAAGGCCAGACACCATAGAGTCTTATATGAAAAATACACAGTTGGATTAACAGATTAGATTCTGGAGACTTAAGGATTACTGAACTTTAAAACATAGCCATTAGCAATAAAAACTATCCAAAATAAACACAGAAAGAAGGTTGGGGGGAAAAAATGGAACAGAGCATCAAAGCGTCAGTAAACTATAGGGCAACTTCAAACAACCTAATGTATGCACAATGAAATCCCAAAGATGGCAAGAGGGGGGTGGAAGGTTGAAATATTGGCTGAAAATTTTTAAATTCATAAAAACTAGTAATTCTCAATTTAAGAAATTCAAGGAACCTCAAGTGGGCAGGAACCAAGCAAAAATAATCACACCAAGGCACATCGTAATCAAACTGCTAAAAACCAGTACTAAAGATAAAGACTTAAAAGCAGCTAGAGTAAAAAGACACATTTTGTAGAGGGGAACAGAGATAAGGGTGGCAGGAAACTTCTCATCAGAAACAACACAAGCCAGGAGACAGTGCAGCAGTAACTTTAGAGTATCAAAGGGGAAGAAAAAAAAAGGACAGGTAACTGTCATCCTACAAATGTAGATCCAACAATAACACCTTTCAAAAACAAAGATAAAGGGGCGGAATAGGGAAAGGTTTGTGATGGACAAACTTTCAGCTATAAAATAAATAAGGTCTGAGGATCTAATGTAAAACATTGGACTGTAGTTGATAACCCTGTATTGTACAATTGAAATTTACTTAAAGAGTAGAATACGAATGTTCTCAACCAAAAAAAAAAAAAAGAGAGAGAGGTAAATATGTGAGGTGATTGATGTTTTAATTAACTCAACAGGGGAATCCTTTCACAGTGTATGTATATACATATACATATAAACATATATATGCACATATCAAATTATCACTATGTATACTTTAAGTATCTTGCAATTTTGTCAATCATACCTCAATAAAACTGAAAAACAAAACAGAACAACAGGGGCGCCTGGGTGGCTCAGTCAGTTAAGCATCTGACTTCAGCTAAGGTCATGATCCCAGGGGTCCTGGGATTGAGCCCTGCATCAGACTCCCTGCTGCTTCTCCCTCTCCCTCTGCCCCTCCCCTCCACCTCCCCTGGTCATGCGTGCACTCTAATAAATAAAATCCTTTAAAAATATAAAGTGAAAAAAAATGTAGAAGTAAAATGTACAATAATAGGCTAGAAAGGGAGTACTAGATGTATTCTGGTGTAATGGTCTTATATATGGTCTTCTTATATAGGATATATAAATTTGTATATCATTATATACAGTAAGTTCTGGTGTAAGCTTCTTATACAAAGTTCATATATATGTATGAATCTATATATCATTACTTGAAGGTCAACTGTGATAAGTTAGAGATGTACACTGTAAAAAAATGAATAATAAGCCAATAAAGGAGATAAAATGGAATCATTTAAAAGTCAATTAATTTCAAAAGAAGGCAGGAAAAGAAAAAAGAAAACAAAGCAACGGGTGGACAAATTGAACACAAATGGCAGATTTAAACCTATTTCAACAATCACACTAAATATAACAGTCTAAACATACTAATCAAAAAGTAGAGATTCTCAAATTAGATTTTTTTAAAAACAAGACTCACATATAGGTTATCTGTGAGAAATTCCCTTATAAATAAATTCACAAGGGGCGCCTGGGTGGCTCAGATGGTTAAGCATCTGCCTTTGGCTCAGGTCATGATCCCAGGGTCCTGGGATCGAGTCCCGCCTCAGGCTCCCTGCTCAGTGGGGAGCCTGCTTCTCCCTCTGCTTCTCTCTCTCCCTCTCTGTCTCTCATGAATAAATAAATAAAATCTTTAAAAAAATAAACTCACAGGTTAAAAGTAAAAGAATGGAAACGATATATCATGTTAATGTGAATCAGAAGAAAGCCAGAGTGGCTATACTACTTCAGGAAAGTAGATTCCAGAGCAAAAAGTATCTCCAGAGATAAAGGTAATTTCACAAAGGTAAGAGTCATTCAACAACAGAATATAACAATCCTAACTGTATGCCTCTTAACAACAGAACTTCAAAATACCTGAGGCAAAACTTGATAAAATTGAGAGAGTAAACAGACAAATCCACAATTTTAGCTGGGAAATTCAATACCCTTTCTCAATAACTGACAGAACAAATAGCCAGAAAGTCAGTAAGGATATAGAAAGATAGCACTATCAACCAACTTTGACACGGATAGAACACTCTACTCAACAGAAGTAAAACACAATGTCCGTTTCAAGATCACACAAAACATTACCATGTTAGACTATGTTCTGAACTATAAAACATCCCAGGAAACGCTATACTCACAAATTAATTTGAGATGAGTCACAGACTTAAATGAAAAGCTAAAACAAAAAAGCTTCTAGAAGAGATCATAAAGAATATCTTGGCCATTTTGAGGTAGACAAAGCTTTCTTAGGAAAAAAGGGCACTAAGCATAAAAGAAAACATTGGTAGAGTAATCCCCATAAAAATTGTAAATTTCTACCCTTAATGACACCATTATGCCTCACAGTGTTTTACACTGGGAGAAAATATTTGCAAAACATACACATTAAATATCTGAGCAGTTTATTTAAGTTATAGGTCAACAGAAATATTGAAAACTACATTAAAAATTGTATGCAGAATATAATCCCATGTTTAACAAGAAAATATACATATGTAAATACATAAGTAAAGGAAAGAGATACAACACCTGTTAATGGTGAGTATAGTGTGTGAGTTGTGGGGAGTGGGGTCCACTAATTCTACTTTGGACATTTTTACATTTGAATTGTTACAGTACACATGTATTACTTTTTCAACCAAAAAATTATGTATTTTTCATGAAAATGTAAAAAAAAAATAGAAGATACGGAGTTAGATCTAGGTTCACACCATTATTTTACATTCTACTAGCTATATATCCTTGGGCATTTTCACCTCTGTGCTTCAGCTTCATCATCTATAAAAATAATAAAACACAAGGCAGTTTGGAAATTAAACAACATACATGGACACTTAACCTAGGTCATAAAAAGCAATATTTTTTAAGTAGAATATTTTAATGTTACTTTTTCTTCCTATTATTAATATCATAAAGTATGGATTCTAAGGCTGCTAGAAAAAAACAGTTTTAAAGATACCTGAACTTCTTCATTGCTTCCTCCCCAATCCTGATGTTTCCTTCTGTGTGGCAAGAATAAATTAGTATAACCCTTTCATCCTCTCTCTGTCCCTTTATTCATTCTACCCAAGAGAAAATGCTTCACCTACGGGTGCCTGGGTGGCTCAGTCATTAAGCGTCTGCCTTCGGCTCAGGTCATGATCCCAGGGTCCTGGGATCGAGCCCCACAT